TGGATTTGCAGAGCAACCTGGATGTAAGTACCCCACAACATCACACGAATGTGCCCTGAGACAGCTGATACTAACCACATCACCACAACTCTATGAAAACAACAAACTGACACAACCCAAAAGGGTAAATGCCACTTATACCTAACGGGGAATGCCTGTAAAAAGCGAATCAAAAACACAGTTACACCTACCCTCAGGCACTAAAGCTTCCTGCAAACCCAACACATGATGCATCTCCTAAGACAAAGTACAAAACCAGCACACAGCTAGACCAAATGACTAATCAGCAGTGCGGTGACACCATGCACCTAGACCAAATGACTAATCAGCAGTGTAGTGACACCATGCACCTAACAAGTTTTACTGCAACTGCACCAACCTTTAGATGAGCCCCCCATTTGTTATGACCTTGCTCAAAAAGCCACAACAAAAGGGAGACACACCATGGTAAAGAGTTAATAACGTTTATTTAACAAAAATAAGCCAAATTAAGAGCTTTTTCAAACTGACATAATTCAAGTATGAGGTATGTAGTTTCAGTAATGTCTGTGCAGGATGATGGTTGCATGAATCTATATGGGTGAAGGTGTTGTAGTAGGCAAAAACAAGGTAAATACCACAAAGCAACAATCCAAAAACCAACAAAAAACAAACTTAAGGGGCAACCGGGTAGCCGACCCACAGGGAAGTCTGACCTGGTCTCAACAGCAGCCTCCTCCAGAATGAGAAGACAGAGTTATAGTCTACACTCAAAGACACTGGGCCCAGGTGCTTTCAGTTACCATAATCAGATCTTAATCTACAAGGGAGAGAGAGATAGGCCACACCAACTCATGACCCCACAGGGCATCACACACCAAAAGCTACTGGTCATACCAGGGTCCGTATTCCTAAAAAATCTTAATGTAAAGAGTAGCTCCTAGTGGAACTGGGAAAATGCAACAATGCAGCATTGATGATTTGGGTCTGTCACAACCTTCTGTAAGCAGAGTGATCACACAAACAATTACAGCACTTTCAGAACCTCTTATTGTGTTGCAGTTCATTTAATTTCCACTGGACATTCCCTGCATTTATGAATATAGCAGGCTTCCTTGGTGCGCACAAGCAGGGGGAACCGTTAATAGTTTGTGCTATACGCTCCCACATTTGCTTCTTGCCCCGTGCTGTGACACCCGGCCTGAATGTTCCTTTTAGAATGGCCTTGTGTTCATCCACTAACTGGGCTAACAGTAAACACTGTTCCTCTGTCCAGTTGGGCTTTCTTGCCCTTCTTGGTTTTGATTCCATGTTTGATACATTAAAACCAACATTCAAACCACCACTTAAATAGACATGCCAGCAATCAGTGTAATTGGAAAGAGTGCAACAAGTTTTATCATTGTAAGCCAATCATATACCTTATAGGAAATTAACAGCATGGTAAATAAAAAAACAGGATCTATATACACATATACAATGTGTGTGTGTGTGTGTGTGTGTGTGTGAGAACGGCCAAATAGGAAATATTATGCATGTAATTTCCAAAGTGAAGGCTTAGAATAGAACCTATACTTAAAATCACTCTTTTTTACCTTCTTGGACAACCAACCAATCACAGTCTTCAAAAGATTGTGTCATACATAGCAAGGGGGTCAACTCCGCCTCCTCACTAAGACGAAATTTGTCTTTTCCTTGCTCAGAGTCCACACAATGGTAAGCATGGAAAAGGAGTGTAAAGTTAAGATGCTTACATTGATATCAGCTCTTAGTGTTTGTATGTGGGTGTTTTAATGGGAATGTAGATTTTTCAGATCAATTTGAGAAGTACCTATGATCTCATTCCACATTTTATTGTGTGTCATGTAATGGGGGGAACTGGTCTTCATCTTGACTCAGTCTCACCCTCCCTCTATCTTGGTCTCAACTTGGTTTCAGCCCCTAAAAGTCTTGGTCTTGTCTCGGCCTCAGTAAACTCTGGTCTTGGTCTTGACCTGGTCTCGGTTTGGGTGGTCTTGACTACAACTCTACTACTTAAAATGCTTTTCTATTATATGTTAACTGTATAAATGTTTGCATTAACGAGTCTCTCGGTCCCCATTTTCACCACCATTAAGATCATAACGCAGTAACCATTGTGAGTTTATGAGATGATACAAACATCTTCTTCTAGTTGTCCCACTTCAGCAAATCCTAACAGAGTGTGTGCCTCAATGTAGAGAATCTATGAATTAGTATAATCAAAGTGATGTCAGGGGATGGGAATGTCAGGTTCTTTGTTAATTAAACAATCATTTTAATTAAATGAGCCCCTGATCACTGAGGCAGACTATTGGATCTGAATTGAATAAGCAAAGTGGGAAAGGGCAATTCAATCTTAATTGCTACATTTGCCAGAGGCTGATGAACGTTTATTGCGGGGAAACAGTGTCTGCTTTTGGTCATAAATTCTGAGGCCTAATGTCAACAATAAAACACGGTTGTATACAGTTTTTTTTGCATGGTATACCCTGCTGTCAGGTATGCTCTTTTCAACATGTGTTGGCCAGATTTATTTCCAGTAATAAAGAACCACATACTTTCCTTTCTTTGAGGTCCCAGAGGTTTATTGTTTGTCTGGTAATTTCAAAATACGTATAAAGTAGTGTGCCAACATGTAGCCTCTGTTGTGGTGTGGACAGAGTGGACCCAAATGCAACACTTAAGATTAACAGGTTTGATTAGGGGAAAGAAGGGGTTGAGGGACTGGAGTTAAGGGAGAGGTGGGTGCCGGGGAAACACAGGCACGGGGAACTGAGGACACTGAGACCAGAGAGCCGGGGGACACTGGGGGCCGAGGAAGAGAGGAGGCACGGGAGAACTGATCAGGGGGTTGGTGGAGGAGTGTGGTGGCAGGCTGACTGGGGGAGGCACGAGGGAGAGCCGGGAGGACGCTGTGGGGGAGGCCCGAGGGGAGAGCACAGGTGAGCGAGCCCAGCTGACTTGACAGAGGACGAGGGTGAGTGAACCTGGGGAGAGACAGACAAACAGGGTTAGTGACTCAGGCAAAACCAAGAACAAGGAAACAGAGAGCGTGCAGGTTACACGAGAGCTGGAGTGATCAAGTGGCACTGGGTTAGGAACAAGGACGATCAAGCAGGGGTCGACTGGAGAACCGGGGTAGAAGTACTGTCGGGGATGAGGCTGATTGCTGGCAGGTGTGGCAGGCAGAGGAGGTGGCTGACGAGATGCAGGTGCAGGTCGTTGGCTGGGCTCAGGAGCGGAGGGAGAGAGAGAGGAAGAGAACACACAGGAGGAAAGGAGGAGACACAAACAGGCAGGCCAAAATACCAGGGGAAAACAGAATCACACCAAAAAAAACACTCACCGTCAGCCGGGCTGCCACCACAACCGCCTCAAACACATTTTCAAGGTACTTAAAAGTACTTGAAGTTCATGAATGACCAAGAGAGAGAGTTTGACTTCTTTTTTAAATTATACATGCTTGCACAAAATACACTAACTGGTACTGGTGAGCATAATATTATTTACTGTATATTGGACAGACATGTTGGTGTGCTCATTAAAAGCACAAAAATATTCACACTAGTGATAAGATCTATCTGCAATGACAAGCACAGTCTTTACTTGCCGACAGCACAGTATAATACAGTAATTAAGGCGTTAACATTTGATTATGAAATACGTTTTAAAGTACACTAAAATACTGCGTAATAAAATGTAATAATAAGACAGATATCATCTATCTATTGTGCATCTATTGAACACATCCGTGGCGCTGATACATGCTTCTAGTCTATTTTCAGTATATTTGGCAAATGTCATACCTGCATAAAGGTATCGATGAATCTGTACCCTATACATGAAGTGAAAGGCCTCTGACACAGATTTTGACATTTCTTTGAAAGAATAGCTGATATTTAAAGTTATTTGTTTAAGACCAAAGAAATGTCAGTTTAACCACGCGATAATGGATGATAAAACACAGCTGCTCTTCCCTCAGCAGTAGCAATTGTGATGATAACGTGATGGTTGACAGTTACAAACAGTGTCATTATCATGGCTCGTCTGTCTGTGTGTCAGTACACCTTTTAATGATTACCACATGGGAAATGAGATAACTTTTGAAAATGCGTTTCCATTCACACTTTTGGAAAAACCCATATATTCAAAATATTTTGTACTCCTGTTGAGTAAGATGAGTCAGAATCTAACCCCATTCACACAACATTTTGATACTGAACATGGAATTCTGTATTTTGCATGCAGCCAGGAGGACCTGAGGATCAAACCATCGACCTACTGATTGGTGGACAATCCACTCTACATTGTGAGCCACAGCCATCCATACACATCACTTTTTCAGGTTACTTTTTAGAAGTGTTATATGTATTAATAATGAAGTCATTTACATGGGATAGACACTGTGTGTGTGTCACAGGCAGTTTTTGTTTTGTATGAGGCTGTGAATCTTATCCTGTAGAAAATAAGTGTATAACAATACATGTGTGTGACAGCTGACAGCTCGTTTGCATGTCTGTATGTGTGAGCATTTCTGTGCGTGTCTCTCTGTTTAGTGTATGTGTGTGTGTGTGTGTGTGTGTGTGTGTGTGATGGCGAGGATATGTGTGTTGACAGTGTGTCTGCCAGCACACATTTTGTGTGTGTCTGTGTGTACACTGCTGTGTTCCAGCTGTCTGAGTGGATAAGGCTCAGTGGGTGGACAAACACTGCAGTGAATGACACACACACACACACACACACACGCAATAGCTGTGGGGACTGTGCTATAAGAGGCAGTGTCTGTGAGCATTGACTCAGCTGGGGTTTGACAAGATCACAACTATAGTACAATGTGCTCTAAAATTAAAATGATTTTGAGCAAAATAATTATAAATTGAGAACAAGATTATTTTATTTATTATTAACATGCTGGTATTAATATGGAATTTACTTATCTGTTGTGGAAAGATTACCTTTTAAATGCTACTTTTCAGGACATACAAAGTATACAACTCGAGTTTGTCACCTTGGTTCATTTATTATACTTTAAATGTTTTAATTCCATCACATATTATAACACATCTAACAGGTGTAAAGCATGTTCATTAAACAACAGAAGAAAACAAAAATCAGTTGACAAACAGCACTTGGTAGTTTTGTGTCATGACACATGTATGCTTTCTACTCTGACCCTTGGCTTTTCCATGCTAATTAATCTGTTGAGCTGCCCTTGAACAGTTTCTTTACTGAACACTTTCAACACACTATTTCATTACTTTGTGTAATTTGAATTTGCATAATTTGCACAAGAATGATAAACAAATAACATTTTCAGGGACTCGAGAAATGTTTCAAACAACATTACACTGCTAAATCTCAACCGCTCCATATCAATGCGAAACCAGACACCCTCACAGTGTCGCCACTATCAGGTCCTGAGTAGCAGGGAGTTTAAATGATGACACAGGGAAACTCAAAGTGCTTCTAGCCACCCAGCTCCTTAAAATGTTACCTCATGATGCAGACTTTCCTCTAAAAGCTGACTGGGAGACAATCACATCACACAAGTTCCTCTATTTTGGGTATCACAGGATGTTTTCCCATACAGACGAGAACGTTCAATAATACACACAGTAGACTCTGTTAATGAGTCCAATAACACTGGATGAGTTTATTAATTAATGAGTTTATTTAATAAGACTTTAATCAGTTTTGCTCCCTAATTAATAACCTTTCAGTGATGAAAAGAAACAGATACAGTAAGATTCAAGGTTTCAAATATCCCAAATGATGATGCAGGTGTAGCAAACGGAGTAAAGTGTGAGGCAGATGAATGTGTGTGTTGATAAAACTGTGACAGAATCCTTCAGTTTTATAAGCTGGCAGTGAAGAGATTTGTATCAGTCGGTAGAAAAATATTTAACCGCCAATCTTGAGAGTTTCATGTCAAGTGCTCGGCAGTTAAACATAACAACTGTGTGCAAGCTTGTGGCCTGTCATGATGTTTTTATTTCTATTCTAGTGTTTTATGGCTCACATCCAGCATGTGAGAACAACAAACACTGTCTCTCATTTAAAGGTACTCTATGACCTCAGTACTTCACAACCGCTGCACTTTTCTAGTTTTGGCTATTTTAACACTTTGTAGCTGAGTGTCACATGGGCAGAGAACAATCTGAGCGCTTCACATCCCAAATCCAAACAATATCAGAAGGCATCAGTGTAGTCCATTAACTTCCATTAAGATCCCTCATCGTGTATAGGACCTCTGCCAATTGTAAATGGCGTGGATATTATGGGAACATGCTGGCATTCGTTTACATGTACTGACGCTGCGGTGGCGGAAAGCCCTTCCTCCTGCCCCTCCCCCCAGCCCCCTCCTCCTTGCAGCGAGCTGCTTTGCTCTATCCTCTGCAGTAAAGAAGTCTGTGGTCGCCCTGAAGAATTCCAGCAGAGCTTTGTGGCTCCAGTTGGTCCCACGGCTCCCTATCCCACTGTTCGGCGCAGCGGCAGAACTGACTCCAAATGCACCGGTGGCACTCCCCTCGGACTGGGTGGAGAAACCACAGTGACCTCCACGGTCACTTAGGAGGAGAAAAAAATGTGGGTTTGTCTCAAAGAGTTCCAAGGGCACCGTGGATTGGGTGTCACCGCGGACAGGGTCATCCTGAGCGCACACACTCAGAACAGGAATAGCCACTTCGTCCACATCTCTCAGGGGTTCGTTGCGTTCCCAGTAAGCATCCCAGGCACCTGACGTATTGCTGCTGCAGCTGCTGGTGGTCCCTGTTGGTGCTGCAGAGTCCACATGTCCAGCTTGACAGAACAGCGACTCCTCCAGGCCACGCAAGGAACAGCTAGAAAACAGGGTGTCTGTCTGTATGGTCTCACCCAGCACCGTCTTGTACCTGTGCACATCATCCGAGTAAACACACACACGCACAAAAAAGAACACGGACAAACAAATAAACAGATAACAAGAGAAAACCTGTCAATCAATTCTGAAGAGCAGCATGGGTCTCATATTCCCTTCGTGGCACTGATTCGACATACTTCACCTGGGTCACAATGTCTCTTAAAATCAATGACTTGACACTGAGCAGGCCATCCGTTGCTACAGTAACTTGATTGTTTCCTTAATTGTCTGTGCCTTTCAGTAAATGGTTAGTGAGCACTTGCATCTGTTTATCGTATAATTCACCTTTTGATGTGTGTTGCTTTTGGCTGACTGAATATATAAAATTTCCTTGAGTCAGTGTATTCTGCCTAAAATTTTCTAATAGTATACTTTAATGCAGCAGCCTTATGAAAACTTACAGTGCACTGAAAGAAGAGAAGGAGCTGTTTATATCCTTCTGTATTCCAAAACTCATTACAGGTGCTGGTCATATAATTTCACTATCATCAAAAAGTTGTTTTATTTCAGTAATTCAAAAAGTGAAACTTGTATAATGTATACATTCATTCCACACAGACACAGATATTTCAAGTGTTCATTCCTTTTAAGTTTGATGATTATAACTGACAACTAATGGAAACCCCAAAATCAGTATCTCAGAAAATTAGAATATTGTGAAAAGGTTCAATATTGAAGACACCTGGTGCCACACTCTAATCAGCTAATTAACTCAAAACACCTGCAAAGGCCTTTAAATGGTCTCTCAGCCTAGTTCTGTAGACTACACAATCATGGGGAAGATTGCTGACTTGACAGCTGTCCAAAAGACGACCATTGACTCCTTGCACAAGGAGGGCAAGACACAAAAGGTCATTGCTAAAGAGGCTGGCTGTTCACAGAGCTCTGTGTCCAAGCACATTAATAGAGAGGCGAAGGGAAGGAAAAGATGTGGTAGAAAAAAGTGTACAAGCAATAGGGATAACCGCACCCTGGAGAGGATTGTGAAACAAAACCCATTCAAAAATGTGGGGGAGATTCACAAAGAGTGGACTGCAGCTGGAGTCAGTGCTTCAAGAACCACCACGCACAGACGTATGCAAGACATGGGTTTCAGGTGTCGCATTCCTTGTGTCAAGCCACTCTTGAACAAGACACAGCGTCAGAAGCGTCTCGCAAAGACAAAAAGGACTTGACTGCTGCTGAGTGGTCCAAAGTTATGTTCTCTGATGAAAGTAAATTTTGCATTTCCTTTGGAAATCAAGGTCCCAGAGTCTGGAGGAAGAGAGGAGAGGCACAGAATCCACGTTGCTTGAAGTCCAGTGTAAAGTTTCCACAGTCAGTGATGGTTTTGGGGTGCCATGTCATCTGCTGGTGTTGGTCCACTGTGTTTTCTGAGGTCCAAGGTCAACGCAGCCGTCTACCAGGAAGTTTTAGAGCACTTCATGCTTCATGCTGCTGACCAACTTTATGGAGATGCAGATTTCATTTTCCAACAGGACTTGGCACCTGCACACAGTGCCAAAGCTACCAGTACCTGGTTTAAGGACCATGGTATCCCTGTTCTTAATTGGCCAGCAAACTCGCCTGACCTTAACCCTATAGAAAATCTATGGGGTATTGTGAAGAGGAAGAAGCGATACGCCAGACCCAACAATGCAGAAGAGCTGAAGGCCACTATCAGAGCAACCTGGGCTCTCAACACCTGAGCAGTGCAACAGACTGATCAACTCCATGCTACGCCGCATTGCTGCAGTAATTCAGGCAAAAGGAGCCCCAACTAAGTATTGAGTGCTGTACATGCTCATACTTTTCATGTTCATACTTTTCAGTTTGCCAACATTTCTAAAAATCCTTTTTTTGTATTGGTCTTAAGTAATATTCTAATTTTCGGAGATACTGAATTTGGGATTTTCATTAGTTAGTTTTAATCATCACAATTAAATGAAATAAACATTTGAAATATATCAGTCTGTGTGTAATGAATGAATATAATATCCAAGTTTCACATTTTGAATGGAATTACTGTAATAAATCAACTTTTTGATGATATTCTAATTATATGACCAGCACCTGTATGTTCCAAAAGGATAGGATTTATATTCACCGCTTATCTACACCCACAAATCTACTGAAGACCTTTTCTTTACAGGTTACCGATGGTCATTAAAAGCAAATTCCAGTTTCATACAATGTTATTTTCATAGCTCTGGCCATCATTGCTATTGAGAAGTACTCAAGTTAATTGCTTTCATCAAGTACTTTGGCGAGCACAATGTTATCATAACCAATAGAAATGAATCACAGTCATCGTTTGGAACCCTATAAAGTCATGTTAATTTGAGTATTCTGTTTTCTTCACCATTTATATTTTGTTCCCAGATATCATTAACATTTTGCCCAACCATCCCTCCCCTATGATAGCAGTTCCCCTTCCTCCATACCTGCTGAGACATATCTTCTGGTAGAGCACCAGCGCCCACTGGAGGGGCCAGCACAGCCCGTTCTCAAACCAGCTCTGACAGCGGAACACGGGCGACAGGCAGACGGCCGCCGTCATGTAGCTGGATGATCCACACTCCCCCAGGTAAGACAGGAGAAGACCGGACCCGGTGCTCTCGCTTACTGCATACAGTCTCCCTGCAGGCTGTCGGTAGCGAATGTACCGCACAGCCTCGCGCAGATCTGCAGGGTCACCGAACTGCTGCAGTTTGAGGGTGGTGAGCGGGGTGCCATTGTGGCTGCGGCGGTTGAAAACTGCCGGAAGGTAGCCATGGGACAGCGCCGTCTCACACAACTGTTGAAGGGGGAGGAAAAACTAAATAAAAGCATGTCCATCCTTACAGATTGGGAGCATTATGAAGGACTTGCTGGGGAACTCTGCATTTAGTATGCTAGCTCTTTTGAATTAAATACAAAAAGACAAGATGGGAAAGGTTATCCATTTATGTACCATTACAGAAAAGGGACATATAAAAGGCTGATATACAATGTATTTTACACACACTATGCCTATATTAGAAATCCTCTTTTTTTGTCCATCTAAATAGTCCACAGTGGTTGAACTAGTGTGGTCTGGTCTCTTGGTTGTAATAACACAGAATTATACAATGCCTCCTTTTAGAAATCAGTTTCCATCTTGTTCCACTAAATGTCTTTGCAGTTGTAACACCTAAAAATGCATGGTGCTACTTTTTATTATATGGAAAAAGAAATAACCAGTTGCAGAGGGGCGTAAGAACACAGTAAAACTACAGCATTGAGTGTTGCTCACTTTCACTGTGCTGTTTAACCATACTTAAAGTGTACACTGTAATACTACAGAATAGGTTCGACTTTCAACACAGTAAACATTTAGTCATACCACTAAATCGCAATTTGTTTTCTTTTACAGTTTAACTTATTTTTGACAGCTGAGGAACACTGTTGCAAGACAGATATAGCCTTCACTATTAGGCAACGTAATGAAACAGTTTTGCACAGATGTATCTCAGCAAACAAGAGTTATGCATCCTGAGATACTGCCTACACAATGTCGCCCAAATCAGTGGCAAAACACAGCCTAAGAAACCTTCACTTGGTGATTATTAACATCAACATGTCAACGTTAAAATGTCTGCTGGGTTATATTTCACAGGAATAATTATTTTCCATTGTAAATGAGCAGTAAGACAAGACTTGGAAATGCTTGGAAACTGCCCATTGCAGCTGGAATAAATTGTAATGATGATGATAAATTATGAGTTTGTTTCAACTTTATGTCAGTTCTAACACCTCTAACAGCTGATATATTAATACCTCAAATAGTCCATATTTGCACATGCAAAAACAGATGAGGCCATATTTTACAGCAACATCCATTAAGCATTATCAGAATTACAGTGAAAGTCACAATGCTTTTCTGTCATGAACCTCCCATGATATCTAGCTACAGGTTGTCATGAGCCAGGATGGTGCCACTTGACCATTAGTAGAAAATGTCCAGGCATTTGAGACTGTTCTCAGACACTGTGGACGCCTTGGTGAAGGCTAACATTATGCCCCATCTTATTAGTTACGAGCGAGTGAGCTGCTCAGCTCAGACAGCCTCAACCTGCAATATGAAGCTCCCCTTGAACTGGGCTGGAAGAAAAACTGGCACATAAGAGCAGAAAGGGCTTGAGTACGGAAACCTGTGATCGCACGTCTCTGGCAGGAAGTCTTCCCTTTCAGTGAGCTTCACTGTGGAAAGAAATATCACTACTCATTGTTTCGTCTAAAGTGAGCTATGAGCTATTATTACTAACTATGTTTATTTTGATACGAATGTGGCAATATGAGACATTTGGGCTGTGGAGTCATTGGGGTTTAACACATGAATGTAAGAAAATGCTAAACAACTGAATGAGAAGTGTGTGAGTGATGTCTTTTTTATGTTTCTTTAATAGAAATTCAAAGGTGAAAATCATTTCAATTCACACGAGCCATAATTAATTTATTCTCAGCATGTCTATAGTAAACTGTGGTTTACTGGCCGTGCGCCTGTAATGTTGTTAAGGAAGCAAAGCAGAGTAAATGAACAACTTTTTCTTGTAGCCTTGGCTGCAGATTAGCTTATCAAAACATCACTCCATTCACTAAATAATAATTATCACTAAAATAATAATTGCATATTATATAATAACATATTTAACTCAGATTCTCATATCCATATCCAAAAGGTTGGACAGAAAAACAGACACACTCATGACACATCATCAGACCTTAGTAAGCCTAAGCCTATGAGCGTGTAACTACATGAACTTAAAATAACTCTGGAAAGACAAGAAGGTTTTGATTCGGAACAGAGCAGAAATGACAATTAAATATAGAAATTACATTAAAAAGCTCTCCACGCAGAGACGGCATACAAATCAGAGATTGTTCCAGCCAATGCTCTGAATTTTACCTTTAGAATAATTGAATCAATCCATTTCAGTGTCTGGAAACACAAGGAGAGGATTTGTCTTGCCCCTCATGATTAATCTCAACATTAGTGTTCAGTTCTCTGTTTCTCATAAAAACGTTTGTGGTCAGAAACGATAGTGGGGCCTATGGTAAATAAACTGTCAGATTTAAATTGTATTTACATTCAAATCTGTAGAGATGCCAGTGAGGAACAGCCACAGAATGACTGCATTAAATATTGCCCAGCTGAGAAAGACTGCAGTAGCATTTTCGCCACTTTCTGGTTGTCTACATGAAAGATTTACTAGGCTAGATACATGACCAGGCAGTGTCAAAAAAAAAAGATCTGAGCAGAGATAATACACTGCAACATCATTCATTCACTCTCTCATTAGCCTCTTCCATAACCCATTCAATAGATAACGCTTTGAATCATTGTGATTCAAGAGGAGCACGTGAGTGGAGGGGAGGGGAGTTCAATTTAATTCCCAAAGATATTGAGAAACGCATTTAGATACTCCACAATTTAAACTGCATATGAGAGTCGGGGCTGAATGATGAATGTTGCGGTTGAGATTAAATTAGGTGAACTGAGTGTGAAATGATTTTGTCCTGCTTGTGCCTGCCTGCTCAAGTATTAACACAACAATGCGTTGAACCAACGTCAGACACACGAAGTAACGCACTGTGTGAATCTCTCACTCTATCGGGCACAATGAGGGATGAGTATCAACTGCTCCACGTTAAATACTAAACACATCTCGAGGATGGCAAATAAAATGAAGGCTTTGTTAACGGTGTCAGGCAAAGTACTCTAAATCCAAATATACTGCAAAGCCCTTATGTTTTATATCATATCCAAAACCTAAAAAATTTACTTTTTGTTCAGATGTGAATGACCCATGACTGACGAGGAATACACATAGGACAATCTGATAAATTGTTAAACTGATGTCACCAGCTTGGAGGGAACACTGAGTTCTTCCTTAATGTGACTAATAGTTTTTATATTGCTTACAAAAATTTTGAAACATTAACTTTTTTTCCTAGATCATATATAGGCCTTTAAAATTCCTGGCAATGCTTTTCCTACTTTTTGAGAGCTCAGCATCATTGCAGAAACGGTTGAAAATAAACCGTGTTCTGAGTTGATAAATTGTCAGCTCAGTGACAAATTCCTTCAGCAGAGACTCACTGGACAACATCCCAGCTCTCATACACACACACACACACACACACACGGGGCAGCATTTATTCTCCTCACACTCTGTGCTGAAACAATGACAAAGACATAAATCAGGTTAAATCAAATATGTTATTTGATTAAAAGCCTTTTAGAGGCAAGAAAGCATCTTACTACAATGCTCTGTCTACTTGTCAATAGTTTGCATAAATACTCTTCAACAGGCCTATGGTGTTCTGGGAATAGATTTGCTCTTGTGAGTCAAATGACGGAGAATTCATTTTATAAAATAAGGGAGAAGTCCCTTTTTTGACAATTGTGTGGAATAATTTTAATTTCAAATGCATCCTGCAACAGGATACTATTGTATACTATTGTATAGGCTCACCCAGTATTACATATAAATATCTAATAATTTAACTGAGAAAATTGCTAAATAAAACAAACAAATAATACGCAAGTCCACATTAAATGTTACCGTACTTGTTAAATAATGAATGCTATGGCTGCCATCTTTTTACGGTTTTCTGATGCACTAATTGCATGAACCCAAATTATAGCTAGCTAAATAAAGCAGAGGCTGTTTCTTCTTTAATCTCTTGCATTGCAGCAAAATCTGTTTTTTCCTCCCCCCGTCAAACATGGCAGCATTGCTGGAGAAGAGTTAAGAAATCATGATACCCTAGATATAGAGTGTTGTGAAGTCTAAAGCAGACAAAATGATGGACTAAAAATATATTTTGAAGTTGCAAGACAGTGTTTTCCCTCTGGCTCAAAAGTGATGAGCATTACAGGCATGCAAAGGGTAGAGTAGCTGTTAATTATTGAAGATAATGTCACAGTAAAAATATCAAGAACTGAAGTCCCAAACTATTTTTAAGCTAGCTCCTGTTCCACAAGCGTTCATAACATTTTTGTTGATTTATTGTTGATTTGATTATTGTATTAACTGTACAATTTACCCCATCCCTCACTTAATATGGCCTGCATTTAGGCCTTCTATTGAAACTCCCTTGTTGCAGCTCAGTTGAATGAAGACATATATATTGGTACTTCTATGCCCTATACCTGTATTGGGCCCAACGTTTTGTACTGCTGGTAATGTTTCTGTGATTGAAAAATTTCCAAGACTGCGTATGATGAAATATTACTGCTACTATTACCTGCCTCACTGATCTAATCGTGACTGTTAATGGTAAAACGTTCCCATTTTAACTGCCCAAGTACTAAGCTATTATCCTCTCCCATTTGGATTTGGAAAATTCCAAAGTTGTTCTCTCAGCAGTGAGAAAGTTAAAAGAATGGTCTGAAAAACAATTATTTAAGTGCTGAAGGGTAAATTACACATAATGACCACATTATATAATTCCTTATATCTATAAGGAATGAATAACACTTGATGTAAGAGAAATGAGTGCCAAAAAGGACACTGAATAAAACATTTGTTAATGTACTGTATCTAGGTCACAAAATTATGGTAAAACCGCTCCCAAATCTATCTGCTCTGTCAGGAAAGTGTGACGCGTGTAAAAACTTATGAGGCAAGACGGCTGCAAAAGCTGGATGTCTGCTCCCAAGAACATTTATGGCCTTTCAACACACAGCTCTAAACAGTTATCACAGGCCACTGAATCTGGGGCTTATTCCTACGTGTCTTTACATTTTATTAGTTTAAAGAGGGGGAGCGTTCTACGTAGTCTTGCTTGTACTTGAGAGTTTAGATAAATGCAGCACTGGATTAAAGGGACAGGTATAATATATGAAATATGTTTCTTCGCTTTCTTGCCGAGAAAGGGAGTGAAGAGAAGATCAATACCACTCTCATTATCTTACTGTAAATATGAAGCTACTGCAGCACCCGCTTAGCTTAACTTAACCTTAACTTAACCTTGATTTTATGCTAAGCTAATCACCTTAGAGAGATGGACACAATGGGTGGATTTAAATATTGATACCAATAGAAATGTATTTTTGTTAAATGTGTAATCCTACAAGTAACTTAATTCAATGCACACTGATTTAACTAACTAACCAATTAACTGCTGGACTGTCTGCCTGAAAGAATGAATCTGTTCATTCATTCATTCAAAAAATACAAGATATACAGTGAGGAAAATAAGTATTTGAACACCCTGCTATTTTGCAAGTTCTCCCACTTAGAAATCATGGAGGGGTCTGAAATTGTCATCGTAGGTGCATGTCCACTGTGAGAGACATAATCTAAAAAAAAAAATCCAGAAATCACAAAGTATGATTTTTTAACTATTTATTTGTATGATACAGCTGCAAATAAGTATTTGAACACCTGTCTATCAGCTAGAATTCTGACTCTCAAAGACCTGTTAGTCTGCCTTCAAAATGTCCACCTCCACTCCATTTATTACTAAATTAGATGCACCTGTTTGAGGTCGTTAGCTGCATAAAGACACCTGTCCACCCCATACAATCAGTAAGAATCCAACTACTAACATGGCCAAGACCAAAGAGCTGTCCAAAGACACTAGAGACAAAATTTTACACCGCCACAAGGCTGGAAAGGGCTACGGGGAAATTGCCAAGCAGCTTGGTGAAAAAAGGTCCACTGTTGGAGCAATCATTAGAAAATGGAAGAAGCTAAACATGACTGTCAGTCTCCCTCGGACTGGGGCTCCATGCAAGATCTCACCTCGTGGGGTCTCAGTGATCCTAAGAAAGGTGAGAAATCAGCCCAGAACTACACGGGAGGAGCTGGTCAATGACCTGAAAAGAGCTGGGACCACCGTTTCCAAGGTTACTGTTGGTAATACACTAAGACGTCATGGTTTGAAATCATGCATGGCACGGAAGGTTCCCCTGCTTAAACCAGCACATGTCAAGGCCCGTCTTAAGTTTGCCAATGACCATTTGGATGATCCAGAGGAGTCATGGTAGAAAGTCATGTGGTCAGATGAGACCAAAATAGAACTTTTTGGTCATAATTCCACTAACCGTGTTTGGAGGAAGAAGAATGATGAGTACCATCCCAAGAACACCATCCCTACTGAGAAGCATGGGAGGGTAGCATCATGCTTTGGGGGTGTTTTCCTGCACATGGGACAGGACGACTGCACTGTATTAAGGAGAGGATGACCGGGGCCATGTATTGCGAGATTTTGGGGAACAACCTCCTTCCCTCAGTTAGAGCATTGAAGATGGGTCGAGGCCGGGTCTTCCAACATGACAATGACCCGAAGCACACAGCCAGGATACCCTAGGAGTGGCTCTGTAAGAAGCATATCAAGGTTCTGGCGTGGCCTAGCCAGTCTCCAGACCTAAACCCAATAGAGAATCTTTGGAGGGAGCTCAAACTCCGTGTTTCTCAGCGACAGCCCAGAAACCTGACTGATCTAGAGAAGATCTGTGTGGAGGAGTGGGCCAAAATCCCTCCTGCAGTGTGTGCAAACCTGGTGAAAAACTACAGGAAACGTTTGACCTCTGTAATTGCAAACAAAGGCTACTGTACCAAATATTAACATTGATTTTCTCAGGTGTTCAAATACTTATTTGCAGCTGCAAATAGATAGTTAAAAAATCATACATTGTGATTTCTGGATTTTTTTTTTTAGATTAGGTTGCAAAATAGCAGGGTGTTCAAATACTTATTTTCCTCACTGTACTTGTATTTTGTATGTTTTAGGATGAACACATTTCAAACTCTTGCCCATATATGAAGGCACTAAAAAGTATGTATGACTACTGTTAGCTTTTGCATCAATGCGCCATCCTATAGGTGGATCACGCCAGACTAAATGAAATAAAGGAGCAGAAGACAAACTGAGGGTAAAAATATGAATGATTTAATAGGAGATGGCTCATTCATAAATTCATGAGTTCCTGAAATGTGCTGTGTAAAAGAGAACGAGACAGGAACCACAAGCCCACAATCTATTTCTTCTCTGTGTCACCGATATAGATCCATGTGAGTGTGGATGTGCAAACACGAGCTCTTTTTATCTCCCTGTCTGGCACATGGGCGGGCGTGCGTGCACACACACACACACACACACAATGTGAATCTCACTACTGACAGGAGCTATCTTAATTGGTGTATATCCCTTGTGGTGCCCCCCCCCCCCCCACACAAAATGTCTAAATGGGTTAAAATGTTTTGACACCCCTGTATCCTTCTATTTTTATCTCACCATTGTTTCTTCCCACTACTTCTCCCCTCTTCTGTCTACCTCATCATTTTTTTTAGATCAACATAAGAAGTCATCCCCTCTAGATGAATGTCAAACACATTTGGTTTTGTTAGTGTTCAGTTCCTGCAGAGTTGTTATGCCTGACATGGGGCTGACAGTAAGTCCGTGATGGATTTGCACACAGAGCTAATGGTATAAAATGAAATGAGCTAGCACGATGCCAGGTGCCCAGAGTAGTGCAAGAGCCGACAGGCATTCATGTGGAGCAGCGCTGCACTTCCCCAGGCCCCTGAAGTCAAATGATGCTTTGTAATCCCTCACTCAATTACCTCAGTCAGTATATTGAAAAAGCAGTTGAAAGACCGGTGCTGCCTCGACATCTACTTTTTTTTTTACTGCTTTTTTCTTCAAACCTAGTATTGATTTGAACTGGCATCTTCCCTCATCTCTTTTAAATTATTGAAAGTCTGACTTGTCTTTTGACTAGTTGAATTACTTTATGCAAATTGTATTGGTCTGTGCATGTGTGGAAGGGATGGTAACAGACGGTCTAGCACTATGACCCAGGCAAGCACACCTGGGCCTTTCTTCTTGCACTGAGAGACACACCTAAGAGAGCAGAGTCCAGCCTTTGTTTGGTGTTTGATTTGAGTTTAAAATTTTTTTGAATGCATAATTTTCTTGAATGGTGAAACTGTAGAACCATGAAATGGTTATTTTAGCTCATAGCATTAAAGATTTGATTTCATGTTTGGTGAGGGATAATAATTCGGAGTGACTGCTTAGGCACATCAGCCAAGAAACAAGGTATGCTCAAGCAGAACCAAGATATTTTTAAATAAGTTTGAATCCTTTAATACAATATTAAAGTGGTTCTTTATAAACATAGATTCCAGTCACCTGCATGTTTTTGACTGGGAGAGGGGACACTTCCCGTCTAGCAAGGTATATTATTTTCTTTTACATTGCATATGTTATGTAAAATGTTTCTTGTACGGGTTACCTTTGTAGATTAATGCCCTTCTGTTTCCTTTAGTTTTTAAACAAAGACACTGCTAGCCTAGGGGAGTTACCTTAGCTTGTTGTGAGTAAATTTGAGTGGTTTGTGGGTGTTTATTCATAATATGCAATTTCCTCTTTTTATGCATACTGGTAGCTCTACACTAACCTCCCTGGTGGAGTCTAGCCCCACATTGTTTATTTTCTCTGAATTTTAAAACAATTTGCTCTGTTGTTGTTTAGTATTACTCTGTGTATTTCAGCTGTGAAAACACTCACTTCCACTTATTTGAAGTGTAGAAATGCTGCTGTTGGTATAGACAGTGAATAATAGGATACAATGCACTCTCATGCTGCTGCTGTGATTTTCATCATGTGGACTCATGCTGTAACATAGATTAGAGACACAGAGCAGCTACAAAGTTCATGATACTACTTAAAATGCATCTAAAGGCTTCCTTTGTCAATGCCTTGGATAATAAATGGATTTCTGTAACTATGTAGTGATTCAGAAACGGTATTAGTGTCTGCAGACATTACAGAAACGGCTGTCTAACCTTTAACAGGGATTATCGGGTTTGTGGAATATTTGAAGTAGATCTCTTTGGTATTAAGGCTGGGGTACCCTGTTTTGTTCAGCTGAATGACAAGTTAACATTTTAGACTTTTTATTATTAAACTTGCTCACTATCTTGATCTTTTGTATGACTGGCAGTTGTGTTTCTGCATGAACATGATTCATCTATGGTCATTCAAGTGCTATCTTCTTAGGATTTTTATTTTAAGAACGGACAGGTTACCTTTAAAACGTTTCTAGTGATCTTCCCAAAAGAGTTTGGGATGATGAGCAGAATGGGACTGGTGGAGTGACTGGAAGTCCTGCGTCGCTTCTGGTATGATGGCACTGCCCAGTCCAAGGCCACCAACCCATCGTCGCTCAGCTGCAGGTTGTCCCGCACAAACTGGACCGGGCTGTCGTACTGCCAGCACACCTCGTACACGCTCTGGAGGAAGGCGCTGGCCCGCCACGTCCATCCCACACACGGCGAGAAATTACTGAAAGTCCTGCAGTGTTTCAGGAGATAGTTGGCCAGCGCGGACGGTTTGCAGATTAGCGCCACGGTGCGTGCTTCCTCGCCGGTCCCCGCACCCACACTGGCCGTCTGGGCACCATCGCTCCACTCACGGTCTGGGACGCACCTCCCGGTCTTGTCCTTCGTTGCCTGTTGTGACATTCCCAGTCCTTGAAGCAAAGCGTTCGGGTGGTTCTCGGTGGCAAAATATTTGGAGCCTGGCCAGATGAAGACCACCAGGATCACAATGCACAGAGCCCCAAGCCATTCCAGCATTGGCACGGTTGGAGAGAGCAAAATGAGCACAACACGGACGCTTTCCAACCCGTATTCTGTATCTTAAGTTGATGATAATAAATTTACATTATAGACGTTAGTCCACGGAAACATGCCCAGTCTTAGTTTGCCGTTCTTTAATCATCCTAAATTGATGCTCAGCTTGTCAGAGAAGTTTGGTGTTTCCCCCCGGTGCCAAGACGCACCAGTCCCTCGTCGTTGTAGGCGTGCTCTCTCAGTTACGCGGCGTTTCTATTGTCCGATTTCATTCCAAACCCGACTTCATGTTTCCATTATAGGCACTTTTAAATAAACGAGCATATTCCGTCGTGTTTTATGCATTCACCGCTAACTGGTCTAACCGACCCAGTAAATCGACCTGTGTTTCAACCCAATAATAATCGTCTGTGATAAACTCGCCTTTAAGCTGGAGACGCCTCCCATCATGTCCAGCCCCCCCCTCAGAGTGAGCAGGTACTCCGTGCACGCGATAATCTATGCTGTTCGCCTTCGCCTAAATTACTTTCAGTAAAAGTGGGTGCATCTTGGGCGTTTTTAAAACGTTGACTATCTCTCTGCTTTCCTGTCGTTAGTCCCCCATCTCGCTCTGTCTTGCTTGCTCTTTCTTTCACACGCGCACTCGCAAGACTCAGAGACCTGTCAGTGCGCATTGTCATTGTCAGATCTGAGTGAATTCCTTGTGAATGGATTTTGCAACATGTGCCCACTGTGTGTGTGTGTGTGTGTGTGTGTGTTTGAGGGAGAGGTCAAATTAGTAACAAATACAGTAACCTTCTATGAGGGGCTTTAAATGTAAAGTAACCTTTTTAAACAGGTTTCTGTTATGTAACAAAAGAACTTCAGGTTTTGCTCAGTGTATTGTTGTAACTGTAATTTGAAGGATAGAGTGAAATAGACCTATGTTCTTTGGACTTACAGATTGTGATGCACTGTGAGCACTGCATACATCAAGTTTCATTGTAAATGTTATGTACTGCTATAACCTCACTGCCATTTTCCTCACCCCCTCTACTTTACTCTACTATGAAACTCAAACAGATAAAAATAGACCTTAAATGTGATTTAAATAATTAAACAAGGAACTGGTAAGCATGAACATTTTAATTGTAAATCAAATATGTTGCAGGATATAGAGCTAATTGAGATTAGCATCTACAAAGGATTCTTCTCACTTCAACATGATTGTAAGCTTCACAGTCTGAGGCACAACTGGCCACAAGTTGAACCCATAGATCCATGGAATATCCAATTGACTCTCTAATCAGTCACTAATGGTGGCACTAATAAGGATGATAGATTTCATGGAAACCTGTAGCTTTGCCATCTGGTTTTGAGGAACATGTTGTCTTGGACACTCATGTAGCATAACAAAGCGCTGCGGCCTGCTGAACATAAATTGATGGCGGTGCAACCGGTGGTGTGTGCAAGGGAGTGAAAACGAACCCAAACAGAAAGTGACAAGACAGTAGATCACCGTGTATTTATTCCACTTTTCAATGCCGCACCATTCCTGTGGAGTAGGCAATGGATAATGAAAACAAATGGCAAAATGGGAGATGCCAAGCCAACGAGTATAGAGAATCAAGACAAATGAGTGGCTGGAAGCATCTCTGTATCACCTCAGAGAATACCAGAGCAGAATTTCTTCCAGCTGGTGCACTGGACAGGTCAGTGGGGGGAGTTGCATTATGTTAATTTACTCACTATAGTTCCAAACAATGATCATTTACTCTTTGTGTGTGATAACCATCTCGTTTGTTGCAGCCCTATGGCAAGATAACTCTCACCATGTAATCTTAGAAGCTCTGTGGTGTTCTATAAAGTGTTTGATCATTAACTTTAATAAGATGTCTGTACACTTAATACCTAGAAATGTTATTTGCGTAACATTGACCCATTGCACTTCACTTTCACGTTAGTTTTAATTTCCTAAGAGGTGGGTTTTTTTGAAATGCCTTAAATAATAAGTTAATATATTTTGGAAGGTCACAAAGAATAACTAGGAACACATTTCATTAAAACCCAAATGATTTGTTGATTCAGCAACCTCAGCATTGTTAACAAAAATAAGCTGGGAAAGATTGTTAAAGCTTGCCAAAAGTGAGTTGCCATTGCATACACACTTTAAAAAAAGGACTGGTGGACTCTTTTATAGCTCTTTGCCACTTTATTATGATGCCATCTACTGTATGTCTATTATATGTATTTGTTTTTTATTAGTGGTGCATTTGTTGCGTTGACTACTGTTTGCAAAGCACATTGGCACAATAAAGACAAACCAATCCAAACCATTATGAATTATCATGTTTCCACTTCTCTGAGGTTCATTCTGTTTATCAAAGGGCTGAATGAGGCTGATAGGCAGTTATCGGTCCATCATATCAATAAACACAAGACTTCTTTGCAAGCAAGAATTTGCATATGGGAGATCACTTAGTCTTAGAGCAAAATATGTCCCTTGACACCTGTATATCACATTCTGTATCATGCTGTAGTGTATGTGCAAATGCAAGGTTGTTACATTTCTCTCAAGCACTGGTTTTATTATTTTGTATTAAACTTAAGTTGTTTTTGCAAATTTCTGCATTCCCCTGAAAGTCTGTGTTGAAACACAATCGATGATTCCAAAAAAAAAGGTCACGGGTGATAAAGAAACATGTGCAATACAATAATACATTTTGCATCGATGACAGGAGATGATGAGGAAAAGGGTCAGTAAATCAAGAAAGCAGAGGTGACTTGATTAGGACAAGGTTTGGACTGACCGGCACCTGTGGGCTGGTTGGAAGCTATGTCTCAGCACAACCTGGTCAAAGACCCTTGTCAACATGAAAGCCTTCTGGAAAATGTCAGTGAGGTTGTCTCATAACCAACAACCTCTGCTGTCCTGTATTTAAAGACCCTCATCTTTAGGTTTATTGACAACTGACAAAGCACACAAAGAGTTATTAGCATAAATAGATGCTGGAGACAAGAGCGAATGTGCAATCAGTCAGTATTGGTATCATGAGAATGAGAACAAGATTACCAAATTAGAAGCATTTAACCATCAAATGAGGGAGAAACTCAACACACACACACACACACACACACACACACACACACACACAGACACACAATCTTCAAGAGTATGCGTGGTTTCTTTACATTCATTTTATTAAAGCAGATACAGAAATGTATACAAAACTATTCCCTTGGATCAAGAAGGATGGGAAGAGCCTCACCCAGTAATTTTCCCAGTCACTGACCCCAAATTACAAATGCACAAACTCCGACAGATGCACACGCACGCACGCACGCACGCACGCACATACACCTATTTTGCAATCAAACATTGTGCTTTCACATGCAGAATCTGGGGTCTTTCCCCAGGAGTGCTGACAGAATAGTCCTGGGCTAAAATGAAGCTGTAGCCTAGAGGTTGCACTGTCTCTTACTCAATATTTAATAAATCGTGTCTCCTGGCTGTGCTCTGCTGAAATTTACACATCTTCACTGTAGAAGAGTGGATACAACATTGTGGGATCTATACTTATTCACTTTCTTGTTGAGGGTTAGATGAAAAGATTGCCACTAATGACTGTTCGGTAAATATCAAGCTACAGCCAGAAGCTGCTTAGTTTAGCATAAAGACTGAAAACAGGGAAAATGGCTAGCCTAGCTCTGTCCAAAGTTAACAAAATCTCCCTACCATCACCACTAAAGCTCACAACTGTAATGGCCCAAAAACAAGATGACTCTGGTTGTAAGAAGCCTGTTTTTAGTAACATCCTTGTTGAAGATAGTCCTCAAACTTGAAATATTTCCATTAATGAGTAACATAAATCCCACATTTGTGTAGCTTGTCTATCAGCCATACAATATACTCACACACTCTCCTCTCAGGCTCTTGGCAGAGGTGAGAATAATTTTCTCTGGCTGTTAGCGACAGCTTGACAGATGGGATCAGATCAGGAAGTTGTTTCTTCCAAGGCAGCAACAGATGCTAGTCTATAGGCCTATGTGACTATAGTTTAACCCTGCAGGTTAAACTCAGGGGTGGAATTAATAAATTACATTTTCTCTTGTTACAGGTACAGTCTTGCTTTTTTGTGTTAAAAAACTTTTACTACGTATCTGTGCAGATTCTCAGTCATCCGGGTCACAGTAGTTATTGAGGAATGCACAGATATATATCGTGGGGAGGGCCAACTCCTCAGGTGAAGACTCTGTCAATGACAACAATGTACATGTTTTAGACAGGAAGGACACATGGTTTGAAAGAGGTTAAATAGCTGGGATTCCCTGCCAGTCAGTCAGCACTGAAGAAGCCTCTTGGATCAGAGGCAAAACAAAAGTATCTTCTGGCTTGTTTGTATTTCATTAAACCAGAGAAAAACGTCTTGGGCAGGGCAAAGCCCAGGATGTACCGAGATGTAGTTAATTGGGCAGTTTTACATAAAGGTAAATGTTACTAAGACAAACATAATACAAACTGCAACTTTCTTGACTTGCAAAATTATCTTTGAAATTTACAGACATTTGTGTAATTCATGATACAGTTCATACAGTTGTGACTTACGCGCATGTTTTTTTTTTTCAAAATAAGGTCAAAGTGGGGAATCCAGAAAAGGAGAGACATCGCCTCTCTGTAGTATAGGAAGATAGTGGAGGGGGGTAGATATAGTTGGCCAGTGGCAGGCTTGTGAAACTGGTATTGATCTTTTCATCTCAATCGGAAAGCGAATAATCATGTTTTCCAAAATGTCTGACTATTCCTTAAAAGTTTGTTTTTTATGCACAGCTGGCCACAGTAGGAATTTAACCTCTAACACGGTAACCTCTAACACACTGAGCTAAACTGCATAACAGCAGCAAAAAGCATTTTAATGTGTCCATTATAACAATTGAGAGTGATGCACTGAGACAAAATGCTTTACTCAACTGACTAAGAGTGAAAAGTAACAAGCCGGAGCAAAAAGGAGTAAAGACATTATGACACTGAATCCAAGGAGAAGAAGACAGAGCACTCTGAGCAGCCTCATGACTCATCATTTGTGCTTGGATCTCATTTGCAAAGCCCAACCAGATACCCCTCCTCCACATTTTAAATCGTATTTGTGTTGCCTCCTTGGTAGGGATGCGAACTAGCTGTAGTCGTTTGGAAGAACTGGCAGTCGATTTAATATTGAGATTTTGATTTTTGTCTGCATCCATAACGTCTCATGCAGAATGACGGTTGTTCTGCTGGACTCACTGTGCCCCCCACCCCCCTTCCTCTCCAGGCTCAGCCCCTCATGCCTGGTCACCATGGCACAGCCACAAACTTAACATCAAAACAAACAGTGACTGTGCCACAACTTCAAACAGATCACTGTAATTTAGGGGAAGTGGAGCAACAGCTTGGCACCGAGGTGGTTTTGTTTTTCTCGTGACATATTTTTGATTGTTTTAGAGGTAAACTTAGTCTCCAACATCCCACCTTAAGTAAGTACAAAATGAGAAATGTTACAGCAAGTCACCTCTCACCCAACCTCTGCAACTGCAATCATATGCAGAACTCATGTTTAGGTTGGCTTTAACTTGTTTTAATATATAAATA